ACAAGCCTGTGTCAGGGCGCTAAGCACTGCCCGAGCCTGCCAGGTATGTTACCGAGAGCCCCTGTGTTAGCGTGCCTGCAGTTGTCTAGCGTGGAAGAAACGCTTCAACGCAGATTGCAGAGGTTGACCTGTAGCTGTTACTCGTATGGCCCCGATACCAAACAGAAAGGACTTCCATTACATCCCCCTCCTCTTGACTGCCTTGGGAAAAGTTGCATCCGGCCTTTAAGTTGGAAACATTAAAAACTTTTTTGTTGTTGCTACATGTTCTCCGAGGAAGAGAGATCTAATGTAAGAAAGACAAGGATTATCATACCACACCGGGTGGCTACGTGCTCTCTGGTCCCACGGGATATCAAGGTCAGTGCTGCTTTACTGCCTGTGCCTCACCGCAGAGAAGCTGAGGTGTTAATCTCCTGGGGAGCACGTCTTCTAAGACAACGTCTGTGAAAGGCAGCACAATGTGGTTCACAAAGTTTAATCCTGAACACCAACTGCTACCCAAGCAGGATCCTTCTCACACAACGTGTGGGGAGGAGGGAGGAAGGAGTCGAGCAGAAAGGGGGCAGCAGTCCCAGGAGTATAGTTGGTTTCAAGGGCTGAACTGAAGTCAGGATGAAGGAAAATGGGGTGACAGCAGATATTAAGCCACAGGCCCAAATCTTGTAAACCGGTAGAAAAACTTCCCCGTTATTGTCAAAAGAAGTGTGAATAAATGATCACAGAAGCAAGTGCTGGCATCACAAAAGAACAAGATTAATGCATTTTTAATTCATAAGGCATTAAAAAGCAGAACGAAACCCAACTAAGTAGTGTGAAATATTATCATAGCCAGAATTTTTGAAAGCGTGTACAAACAACACTTAAATCCAAGCTGCATCCTTACTACCACTACCACCAAGTTCCTGTAATTTCCCCTTTTTGTTGTTGTTGTAACACGTACATGAATGCACGGGCTTCCAACTGTTCACTACCTTAGCAGTTGTGCCCAAGACCAGTCCCCAAAAAGCTCCCGAGCCCTCACGGTTCAGCTCTGAACAAAGACTCCCGCTCTTC